CTCCAAACCTATGTCAGCCTTCCCACTACTTCCCCAGCCTCTCCCCTCTCCCTGTCTCACCTTTCTATGAGTTCCAGACAGCAATGGTCAGCAGGCTCCCCCTTCACTCCCTTTTTCTCTTGGCAGGAACTCCCTATGGAGCCCAGACTGGCCTGGACCTCCCTATATATCTCAGGATGACAGAATGAAAAAAATACAAAAAGGAAAGGACATGACTGGTCCTAGATATGGTGGAGAAGAAAGTTCATTGTAGATAAAGGGGAGAGCGTAGGCAGAGACAGGGACCTCTGGGAGAATCCAGAGTGTGAAGAGACATGGGGAGGAGAAGGGAGAGGGGAGAGAAGGGAGAACCAAGCCCAAAAGACAAGGGATAACCAAAATGGCTGGGCTATATAGGGAAGGGCAGCCTAGTCCCTGAGCTGGAGAAGTTGGGGGTGGGGTGGGCAATGAATATAGGGGCTGAGGGATGCTGGAAGAACCTGGCAGCTGGTGTCTGCTGTGATGTGTTAAATGGGCAGCACAGACATTTATTGGTTCCTGGTTTGAGACCTGACAATGACCTCATAGCAATCCCCTTGCCTCTGCCTCCCAAGATGCTGCTGCTGCTTCTTCTTCTTCTTCTTCTTCTTCTTCTTCTTCTTCTTCTTCTTCTTCTTCTTCTTCTTCTTCTTCTTCTTCTTCTTCTTCCTCTTCCTCTTCCTCCTCCTCCTCCTCCTCCTCCTCCTTCCTTCTTCTTTCTTCTATTTCTTTTTAGGTGCACTGGTGTTTTGACAGCATGTATGTCTGTGTGAGGGTGCCAGATCTTCTGGAGCTGGAGTTATAGACAGTTATGACATCTATAACTGGAATTATAGATGGTTTCCTGTCATGTGGGTGCTGACAAATGAACCTGGGTCCTCTGGAAGAGTAGTCGGTGCTCCTAACCTCTGAGTCATCTCTTCAGCCTCATCCTTGGCTTCTTTACTTCTTTTCTTCTCTGTACAGAATAAAGGTAAACCTGAGGCTTCACATAAACTGACACCTCTTGAGTATATGCACACATTTCCTGCGTGTTAGAATATGCCCGTGTTCTCCTGAGAATTAGTACTAACTGGTTTTCCTTCTGTGCGGTTACACTCTTGGATCTTTTTTTGTTTGTTTGTTTGGGTTTTTGTATTTGTTTTTCTTTTTTATATTTATTTATTTATTATGTATACAATATTCTTTCTGCGTGTATACCTGCATGCCAGAAGAGGGCACCAGACCTCATTACAGATGGTTGTGAGCCACCATGTGGTTGCTGAGAATTGAACTCAGGACCTTTGGAAGAGCAGGCAATGCTCTTAACCGCCGAGCCATCTCTCCAGCCCTGTATTTGTTTTTTGAGACAGGGTTTCTCTGTGGCTTTGGAGCCTGTCCTGGAACTAACTCTTGTTGACCAGGTTGGCCTCAAACTCACAGAGATCCGCCTGCTGCTGCCTCCCGAGTGCTGGGATTAAAGGCATGCGCCACCACCACCCGGCTCATCTCTTCTTTCTTTATCTGTTCCTAGCATTATCTTCAGGACCCTCCAGCTCCAGGTGGTACCTTCAGCATGCTCGTGATGCAGCCACACAGCCTTTTTTCCCCTCAGTCTATTCATCTGGAAGGCAGACAGTAAGGCTTGTCTTAAGGACTCCATTGACTTCTGAGTGAGGTAAAGAACTGAGCCCTTGCTGGCTCCCAGGATATGATATTGTTTCTGTTAAATTCCATTTATAGTTGTTTTTGAAAGTCTCACCAGCAAACAAAGAAAAGGCACAAGCACAGAGGACAATTCCTGGCCAACATCCTTGCGTATTAGTTACTGCAACAGAGTTCAGTGAGTGTAAGCAAAAGAAGTGTTAACTCCGAACCTCAAGGTTAAAGGAGCAGCCAGATACCAGGAATCAGGAACAGTTCCAATCGGGGACTCAGTCCTCCCGCCTTGACCTCCCCACTTCCCTGAGTAGCCTGGTGCCTCTCTGCGTGCGTGCACACAGTGAGAAACCCAAGCTGTGCCTCTACCACCCATAGCCCTTACCGTGGAAAATTCTCCATTTCTTCTGTAGCCCTGTGGGGATAAGGGCTGTCCTCAGAACAGCCAGCCAATCCGAGGCTGAGCCCTGAAGCTGCCAGGTGGGGACAGCCCTTACATGCAGGGGCTACCCAGATTTAGATGGTCGCTCTGCAGAGCCAGAGATAGTCAGTGTTGTCAGATCCTTTTGGGAGTTTCCTCAAATTTCCAAGCCTTTCTAATAATAACAAGCAGGTCTCACAGCAACTCCTGGAAGACTCTTGGAAATATGTTTCCGGAGAACACACTCCTGGAAGATTATGCCATAAATACCACTTTTTATAGAGCTTACAAATAGCACCACTAGACACAGCACGGTTTACACACACACACACACACACACACACATAAACGCATGCATACACACACACAAGCACACACACATGTGCACACACACACGTGAGCACACATGCACGCGAACACATCATTGCATAGTATTTTTTTTTCAAAAGCAGTGGAAAATAAGCAAAATTATCCTACGATGGTGCCTTCTCAGAGGAGGTAGAAGAGTGGGCCAAGCGGCCACCCCGGCAGGTACATGCTATTGCTAATAGGCTAGTTCCTGGGTGACATGGCAGGCACTCACACACAGAAACTATTGATTACTGAGATTTGTTTTTATTTTATGTGTATGAATGTTTGGTCTACATGTATGTATGTGCGCATCTGGTGTTCTCAGAGGTCAGAAAGGGGCATCAGATCCCCTGAAACTGTTGCTACAGATGGCTGTGAACCACCATGTGTGTGCTGAGAATTGAGCCCAAATCATTCTGAAGAGCAGCCAGTGTAAACCACTAAGCCATCCCTCCAGCCCATAATTTAAAAAAAAAAAAATTAAAAATTTCAAGACAGGGTTTCTCTTAGTAACTGTCCTGGAACTCGTTCTGTAGACCAGGCTGGCCTTGAACTTACAGAGATCCACCTCTGCTTCCCAAGTGCTGGGATTAAAGGTGTGTACCACCACCGCCTAGTTAAAAAGAAACGTAATAATTGTTGTTCAGTGGACCAGCAAGATGGCTCAGTATGTAAAGGCACCTGCTGCCAAGCTTAGAGACCTGATTCCGAATCCTATGGCCCACACAGTAGGAGAGAACCAACTCCCGTAAGTTGTTTTCTGACCACACTCACTCATGCAGAGTGATGGAGAGAAAGAATAAAATGATAAAATGTAACTTAAAAATAAATATATGTGGGTGCTGGAGAGATGGCTCAGTAGTTAAGAACACATGCTAGTCTTCCAGAGGACCCAGGTTCAATTCCCAGATCCCACACAGCAACTTATAATTGTAACATCAAGATCTGATACCTCCAAACAAGCAAACATGCAGGCAAAACACTAATGCACATAAAATAAATAAATGTAATTTAAAATTTTTAAGAATTACCTTTCCAAAGGTAACTGAAAACAGCTTAGGCCAAGAACACACCCATCATCCCAAGGCAGGGTAGATGAAGGCAGGGCATCAGAAACCCAAGATGATCCCTGGCTATGTAATGAGTTTGAAGCTTTCCGAGCCTACAGGAGACCCTGTCTCAAAAGCCAAGAAAAACCCAAGCATATTTCCACACATCTTTAATCCCAGCACTGAGGAGGAAGAGGTGGGTGGATCTCTGGGAATTGGTAGACATTGCAAGTTCCAGGCCAGCCAGGGCTACATGGCATGACCCTATCTAAAAAAACAGGAGTGGGGTGGGGGTGTGCAGGAAAGAAAGAGGACAGTTCAAGAAAGGAAATGTAATTTTAGCGGCTTCCAGCTCAGCGGCAGAACGTTTATGTAGTCACAATACATATGGTAAACACTGGTGGATGGATTTCCACTCTTAGCATCAACAGACAGACAAAGCTTGGAAAATGCAATAAGAACAGACACAAGTAAACACAGCAGCCTCCATATTACCCAATAAAAAGTCTGAAAGAGTAAAACGAGATGGGGGAAGGGATGGGTGGCAGATTCAGGCTCAGTGAATACATTTCCTAAATTTCTCAACCCCTGACTGGAGTTAAGTCACATATCCTATAACAAGAGTTGGACATTTTTTCTGTAAAATCCAGATAATAAATATGCAGGTAGCTGGGTGGTGGTGGTACACGCCTTTAATCCCAGTACTCAGGGAGGCAGCGGCAGGCAGATCTTTGTGAGTTCAAGGCCAACCTGTTCTCTAAAGTGGGTTCCAGGACAGCCAGAGACACGCTGAGAAACCCTGTCTCAAAAAACCAACCAATCAAACAAACAAACAAACAAATACTCAGGGCTGGAGAAATTCAGAGGATCCAGGTTCAGTTCCCAGTTCCCAGCACTTGCACGATAACTAAGTTGTATCCAGTTCCAGGGAATCCAATGCTTCTTTTGACATTCACAAGCTACTCTACAGACAGTGCCCAGACATACACTCAGGTACACTCCTCCCCCCCCTCAAGGTTTTTGAGTAAGTCTCTATAACTACCCAACTTGGCTAATGTAGTCTCGAAGTCATCACAGACAGCTGTTCCAATATATAAAACGTAGTTTTATAGCCTGGGACTATACTTTGTCCTCCCCAATGCTTTGTGTAACCTCCAGCTCCCAGTGGGATTAGGCTCCAATTGTCCTGGTTGCCTCCGGTTTTGATAGCCCTTGTTGATCTTTGGCCCTTTCCTGTCTCACTTCCTTATGTCTCTCTTAACTCTGGCATGGGTTCACCTCCCCCGTAACTTCCTACACTCTGATCTTTGTCTAGTGGTCTGCTTCTGAGGAAACCCAAATAATGACATGCCACTTTTTAAAAGACTGTACTAGCTAATACATAGAGGCATGGCTCTGTGTGGGTACGGGAAAAGCGATTTATTTGTTTATTTTAAAGCATATGAGATGCAATCTAGAAAACACACACACATAGGAACAACTCAGTTTCTTTTTGAGCAGAGTGAGCTTCCGCATTGACTTTGTGTGGCCTCTAGTTTTTTTTTTTAATATAATTTTTTATTGAAAAAAAAATTTCCGCCTCCTCTAGTTTATGCAGCTTCTGCTCAGACTTAAAACCAAGAGGAAAGTTAAGATGCTCTCCCTCTCTGTCAGATAAACTTAGATGACTTTCCCCAGCTTGTACCTTTAAATATCTTTTAAATAAATATATAAATATTGGCCTTTTTTATCTTAAGCTTCAGATCTCATAACTTAAACTGGCTTTTTTAGGCTCCATTGGAGGACCCTAAAAGTGAATTCACCTGGGCATATATTTCTGCAGGATTTATAAAAATCAGGCCAGGTTTGGTAGGTCATGTCTGTAATCACAGGACTTGGGAACCTGAGGCAGGAGGAGTGCTGTGAGTTAGAGGTCATACACCACAGAGGGAGACACTGTCTTAAAAACAAACAAGCAAACCCCCCCAAAAAAAAAGTAACAACAACAACAAGCAAAAAAAAAAAAGCCCAAAAGCTAAGTATAGTTGTTATGTACCTTTAACCCCAGCACCCAGGAGGCAAAGACAGGAGGATCTCTGTGAGTTTGAGGCCAGCCACCCTGGTCTGTATAGAATGTATCAGACCAGCCAAGTGACGTAGTGAGATCCTGCCTAAAAAGAAAAACAAAACAAACAAAAAGAAATGCAATCAGTTATTGCGCTCTAACTGAAGGAAGATGAGTTAAGGAAGCTTTTGGCTCACCTTTAGTGACTACGGTAAATGGACTTCAGCGATCCCCTGCTTTTGCTATTCATGCGTTTATATAAGAGGTATTGCCTTTTGAATACGCACTTAGTGATTGAAGTGTGTGTGCGTGTGCCTGTGTGTGTGAGACACAAGCAGTCCGGCTGGCCTCAGACTTTCTGTTAAGTCAGCCTTGGACTCTGGATCTTCTTGCCTCCACCTTACCAGTGCTGGGGTTCGGATCGGTACCACCGCACCTCACTTAGTGATTAGGTTCTAATGAACGGCCAAAGTGATGGGCACCGCTACTCGGTTAGTGGGGGAACTAAATACCACCAACAAGTCGGTGGGTTTGGAAGCAGATTCTTCATGTGAGAACTCAGACCCGGTTATCTGCTCAACTCTGCTTGGCTTGACCATGGCTACTTTGAGCTGTGTTCTGGTTCAGATCTTATTTGTTTGGTTTATTTGAATCTTGCTAGGTGCTCAGGATGACATTGAATCAAAGACTACCCTGCTTAGCCTTCTAAATGCAGGGAGTCCATACCTGTGCCACCATCTCCCACCGGTTTGGATCTTAAATGTCCCCTGAAAGGCATATATTGAAGGCGTAGTTGAGGTAGGTGGTGGGAGGAACCTTTAGCATGTGGGGTCTAATAGGAGTTAGGGTATGAGAGCATGCCTTTGAAGGGGATATTGAAACCTCAATCATTCCTCCTTTGGTTCCTACCCACCATGGTGAGCAGGTTCCCTCTGCTCTGCCACAGCCCTGGAGCACCAGGGCTCGTGAGCGTATCTAGGAAACTCTGAAACCCTGAGTTAAAATAAAGCTTCCCTTACAAGCTGTGATTGTCTGGGTATTCTGGTCACACCATGAAAAGCCAAGTGAGGCCGGCCAGTTATCACAGGACTGTTCTGGATTACCTCGTCTGCTTTCCTGGTAGCCTAGAAGCAGGTAAGAACAGCTAAGGTGGTCTGTGAAGTTTATGACCAGACTCGAACCAGGAGGTGGTCAATAAGCAGGCGCAGAATGGAATCAAACACAGAGACATGTGGCTAGTCGGTGAAAGGCCCTTGTTGGTGACACTGTGCTCTGATCTCTTACTGTACCCTCTATACCGCTCCAGCTGCGCTGAGCCTGCCCTGCCTTCTTTTCCAGCCTGCAGCAGCCCCAGCTGCAGCTGCTCTAGTCCACCACAGGCACAGATCTTAGGAAGCTGTGCAGAGGCCGACACACTCCGAGCAGGCATTGCTCCGGGTCTCTAACCCTAGTTCCAGTGGAACCGATGCACCTGTTCTTGGCACCGCTGCAGCCAGCCCTATCCCCATATAAAGCCATTGTTCGTAGACCATTGCCCGCTCAAGCTTTGACGAGCCTCGGGGTAATGCCACCAACGTTTATTGAGAGTTTCCCATATGGTTGGCACTTTTCTGGGTGAAAGTTGTGGACATGCCAAGTGCCCTTCTGCCTTCAAGTCCCCAGAGTCATTCCACCTTCCACAGCCACCGAGGCAGGTTCAGGCTGGGCAGGTTGTCATACATGAAGGAAGAGCATTGAACAGTTGTGAAGAGGGAGCCTTCGCCCAGGCTTGAGCTCCAACCCTAGCAATTGTCTGTCCTACTGTGGTAGCCCTCACCTCTCCAGCATGAGGACAGGTTCTCAGCAGCAGACACTGGTTGAGGCTAGGAAATGCCACCAGCTCTCTACTCCCTCCACCGAGCTGGCCCTCTGAGAGGATCAGGTTAGACGAAGATCCCCCAGAATGGACGCTGACTGGCCTGGGACTCGTTCTGCAGCCTGCTGCTGAGGCTGGCTGATGTGACGACAATTCAAGTTGGGAGATAAGCAGAGAGGCACGAAATATGGAGGTCAGTGTTTGGGACAGGAAAATACCCAGACTGCAGAGGCTCTTTCATCCCAGCTACTTGGTTCCTCAGCGACGTGCCAGACCATTGACTGCTTCAACTGTCATGGAACCCAGGAGGACCCAAGAGACCCAGAATCCATGGCTCTCATCCACGGCCCTAGCCTCTGGCCAAGCTATACTCAGCACTCTCTTTAGAACTCAGGCCAAATGTCTTCTTGGGAGAAAAATAACAAGGAAAAAAAAAGAAAAAAAAGAAATGAAGTTTCCAGTCACCACTGACATGAGTGGTTTTCTCTCTCTCTCTCTCTCTCTCTCTCTCTCTCTCTCTCTCTCTCTTTCACACACACAAACACCGCATTCAGCAGAACTGCCTTCCTAGATACATATACACATGGACACATGTGTACACATGTCCTCTGAGACACACTCTGGATTCTTCTGGAACAAAGGAAGTGGTTTGGAAGGGTATAGGAAGTAGTCCAGAAACAGAAGGGTTAGATTAATTTAACACTTTCTATACTCAAAGGGTAGGATCAGTGGCTTCTGTAGAACCAAGTAGAATGACTACTGGTCTCTTGGGTCCAAACCACCATCTTCTTTGGCTGAATGGGCTCCTACCCATCCCTGTTGTCTTCAGGACTCCTCCGGTAACGCCTTTTCTCAAATGCATTGCCCGGCTTCTTCCTTGGTGACAGTCGACAGCCAGGGTCTCAACCTTGGACACTGTGCTGTCTCCATTGGCAGCACATCAAGCCATCCTCATTCTTCCCTGCTGTGGGCTCAGATGGCCTGTTTCATTAGCTGCTCGGTCCTGAAGCTCTAGCTCTGCTGGTGCCACTAGAGGTAGTGTTTCCACCGACAGCAACAGGGGGCGGAGGGATACAGAGCTGGGCAGACTTCGCCTTCTCCGTGCTGCTGCCAGTGTCCCAGTCTGTGCCCTCTCCCTAGCCTGCGTTAGGGCTGAGGGGTGTCAGAAGTGCCTGGACAGGGTCCCACAGCCTCAAGGAGCTTCTGATGCTGGCGAAGATGCTTCCTCCTTTCGTGTTCTCCAGTGACTTCACACACCAACTGGGCAGGGAAGGCTCCAGGAAGCCCTTTAAGCCAACCTGGGGAAAGAAAAATAGGCTTGTGGGGAGCAGGGTCCGAGGTCCAGTGGCTGGGGAAGCAGGCCCTCTGGGGTCTCAGGTCATGGTGGGTTGGGAAGTAGTGGAGAAGCAGAGTCGAGCATTCAAACTCAGTTACCACCTCTCCCAGAAGCATCTGGAAGGGGCGGTGGCAGTTCTAGGTCAGGTCCTGTCATGACTGCTCTTGTTACCTCAATCACAAGAACTTCTGGGCTTGAGAACTGGCTCAGAAGTTAAGAGAAATTGGTGTTCTTCCAGAGGACCCAGGTTCGATTCCCAGCACCCACATGGAAACCCACAACCATCTTTAACTCCAGTCTCCAGGGACTCTTCTGACCTCGGCAGGCACCAGGCATACACGTGTGCACAGACATGCATGCAGGCAAAACACTCATACACATAAAATAATAAAAAGATAAATCTAAAAAACAAATAATAAAAATAAATCTAAAAAAGAATTCTTGCAAGGGGCTGCAGGATCTTATCTGTTATTCCCTGTGACCTCATTTGTTTCCAGCTCCTCTTCTGGATCAGTCTGGCACACTGGCCTCCCTACAGTTCTTCTGGATCAGTCTAGGCACACTGGCCTCCCTGCAGCTCCTCTTCTGGATCAGTCTAGGCACACTGGCCTCCCTACAGTTCTTCTGGATCAGTCTAGGCACACTGGCCTCCCTGCAGCTCCTCTTCTGGATCAGTCTAGGCACACTGGTCTCCCTGCAGCTCCTTTACTGCACACCAGGTCCTGGGCCTTTGCTCAGCTCGTGCCCTCCAGCTGGTCTACTCTTCCTCCAGGCACTGAACACCTAGACCGAGCACCCTGTCAGGCTCACACATTGCCTCCTAGTGAGGTCTGTCTCACCTGACTATTTGAGATCCTACCAAACCCCAGAACTCCCTCCTGCCTTACTCCATGCTTTTTCCAGGGCACTCATCCCCTTCTAACATACATAACATATTATTTATACTTACTTATCTCATTTAGACTTGTTTTGTTGAGACAGTGTCTTGGTATCTAGTTGTAGCTGGTTCAGAATTCACTATAAAACTCAATCAAACAGAAATCCTCCTGCCTCAACCTCTCCAGTACTGGGACTACACATACGGACTGTAAAAAATGAGTTCCTATTACTGGAATTCTCTTTCTTTCTTTCTTTCTTTCTTTCTTTCTTTTTATTTTTTTTAAGGAAGAGTCTCATCCAGGCAGCAGTGGCACATGCCTTTAATCCTGCCACTCGGGAGGCAGAGGCAGGCGGATCTGTGAGTTCAAGGTTGGCTTGGTCTACAAAGTTAATTCCAGAACAGCAGAACAGGTTCCAAAGCTACAGAGAAACCCTGTCTCGAAACCACCATCCCCTCAAAAGAGTATACGCCAGGGCTGCGGGGTGTAGCTCAGTACAGCACTAGCCTATCACGTGTAAGGCCCTGGACTCGATCCCAGCGCTGCCAGGGGAGAAATGCTTATATCAGCAGAGCTTAAAACACTGTGTTTGGCTCATGGTGCTCAATGAATATTTGCTGTGTGAGTACATGAAAGGCTCTCTCACCTTCAGGATTCTTGTGGGGATGCTTGCGGGGGGCCTTGGAATCCAGGCTTTGTCCCTCTGTCTTGGAAGGTGTGGGTGACTCTGAACTCAGCTCCTGGGAACACTCTGGTGGAGAAAGGGTAACACTACAGTGGGATCCCCTTTTTTTAGTTGTTATCCCATATCCCCCTTAGGACTCACATTTTCCCTCCACCTCCTGGGAGATACTTACCACAGTCTTCATAGACGGTGTCTGGGGAACAGGGAAGGGGACCTGGGGTGGGAAAAGCCCCCAGCCAGCGCTGCATGTCTGACCTAGTGGTGAACATAGGAGGTTCACAGTTGACCCAAGAATACTCCTTGGGGATAAAATAGGGGCCATGGAGGACAGAGAGGAGCAATAGAATATAGAGAGATCAGGTGACTGTCCTAGGGTGGCTTGCTTGTTTGCGGGTTTTGACAAGGCTGCTCAGGCAGGCCTCAAACTTATGGTCCTCCTACCGACTTCAGTCTCCCCTGTGCTCAGATTATAGAGGTATGCCACCATGTTGGTTTGTTCTCTCCTGCGGTGCCAGGGCTGAATCCAGGGTCTCATGCACACTGGGCAAGCTCTCTACCACTGAGCCACATTCCCCAACCCCCAAGAGTGTTTTCTAGAGTCATGACTCACAGTGAGGCGGCTTGGAGTAGCCTGTGGGTGGGGCGACCCTGGTGGTTGCTTAGAAGGGAGAGGCGAAATGTAGGGGGTCCAGACGGGTCAGGAACCTGCTGGGCCTGCACCAGGGAGCGATGGGCATAGTCCAGAACCTGCAACCGCTGCCCACTACCCAGGGAAGAGGGCGTTCAGAGGAGAGCAGGTGCGTCCCGCTAGATGCCTCTTCTCCACTCTAGCTTGGGCTTGCTCCCCTCCCACGCAGGACCCACCTCTTGGGCTGAGTGATAAGCAGCAGATCGCTGAAGAGCAGCAGGCAGAGGGGAGTGAAGCGGGGGCGGGAGGTGAAGAGCACACCCCCCCTCCGACATCCCAACTCCGTCAGCTCCCCCTGTAATTCCAGGCGCCGTGACCAGGAGACCAGGGGTAGAGCCTGCGAGGAGAAAAAGAAGGGTTTAGCCTCGCAGCATGGTGAGGAAAGACAAGATGGGGAGTCTGGGCAGAACTAACCTTGACCTTATGGAAACGCAACCTCTGGGTGAGTCGGATCAGTTCTTCTGTCTGCTTCATGCGCCCCACCTCAGCGCTGCAGCGCTCAATGATCTGGTGAGGAGAACTGAGTCACCCATCCCAGCCAGCAGCCCCCTGCTCCCTTCCACTTCCCCTCTACCACTTGGCACCTTCCCTCCTCGGCTTCCATCCTGCCCACCTTGCTCACAGCACCCAGGGCCTTCTGGGCGTTCTCCTGGCGACTGGACCCCTCCTCTGTCTGGCCCAGGATGTTCTGGGAAGAAAGAGGGAAGGGTGACTGAGATCTTCCGTTGCCCTGAAATTCTGAGGCACTGTGGACTCGGCCCAGCTTTGCCAAATGTTCCGTTCAGGATTCACAGGTCTCCCAAGATACCCCTCAGCAAGGCCATGAGACCTACTGCTTACCAGCTGCCAGAGCCTGAGCAAAGTCCTATCACTTGCTGCTCAGAGCCTCAGTTTCCCCACTTATAAGATGCAGCTGATATCTATTTAGTACATTAATAATATTGTGAGGATTTGAGGTGATATTTAAAGAGGATTTAGCACAGTCCTTGGCACACCATAAATGCTTGGTGGGGGGTTCTTTTAAAAAAAATTTACTAGCCTAACAAAATAGCAGGGCAGTTAGAAATGCCTGGATTTCTGCATTTTTGCTAAGCAGCCCTGGCTGGCCTTGAACTCTAAACCCTTCCTTCAGTCAACCCTCACAAAGCTGGGATTACAGGCATGCACCACCACTTCTGGCCCCATGCATGGCCTAGGCCAAGTTACTGAAACTGCACCCAGTTTCCTCCTTATAAAGTCATGTAAATAATGTTTCCTGGGCCGGGCAGTAGTGGCACATGCCTTTAGTCCCAACCCTCAGGAGACAGAGGCAGGCAGATCTCTGTGAGTTCGAGGCCACCCTGGTCTACAGAGTGAGTTCCAGGACAGTGTCCAAAGCTACAGAGGAAACCCTGTCTCAAAATAAATAAATAAACAAATAAACAAATAAAGGCTCCTGCTCTCACACACTGTACACACCTGTTATCCCAACACTAGAAGCTGAGGCAGAAGACTGCAAGTTTGAGGCTGGCCTGGGCTACGTAGTGAGTTTTAAAACAAATAAATAACAACAAAAACAAGCAAACAAAAAAAAAGCAACAATAAGAAAAACCAACTGTGTCATAATAAAGAAAGAGAAAAAGAAGACAATAGCAGCAGCAGCATCTAATTGAACACTCTTTGTACTAAGATTTCAGTACTGGGGCTGGAGAGATGGCTCAGCAGTTAAGAGCATCCGCTGCTCTTCCAGAGGTCCTGAGTTCAATTCCCAGCACCCACATGGTGGCTCACAACCATCTATAATGGGATCTGTTTGATATGGGATGCCCCTCTGCATGCTGTGAATGTTTTATTACCATTATTAATAAAGAAGCTGCTTTGGCTTCTGGCAGGGCAGAATAGAGTTAGGCAGGAAATCAAAGCTGGAGGGAGGAAAAAAGAAGGCGGAGTCTGGGAGACGCCAGCTGCTGTGGAAAAGCAAGATGTGAGGTAGAAACCACGAGCTTTGTGGTAAAACGTGGAACAATACAAATGGATTAATTTAAGTTGTAAGGACTAGTTGATAATAAGCCTGAGCTAATAAGCCAAACATTTTTAATTAATATTAAGCACCAGAGTGGTTATTTGGGAACTGGTGGGCAGAAAAGACCCCTCCAGTTACATCTGATAGCCTCTTGTGCCTATCTTCATGCAGAAAGAGCACTCAGACGTAAAATAAATAAATAAATAAATAAATCTATCTGAGAGGGGAAAAAAAGATTCCAGTACTGCCAGGCACGGGATGCACACTTTTAATTCCAGCACTCTAGCGGTGCTGGTGAAGATCTCTTGGAGTCAGGCCAGCCTGGAATACATAGCAACATAGCATGCCAGCCATAACTACATAGTGAGATTTTTGTCTAAAAAAGAAAAAAAGAAAATTCCAAAACTGGAGGAGGGAGCTAGAGAGATGGCTCAACAGTTAAGAGCACTCAATACTCTTTCAGAGGACCGGAGTTCAGTTCCCAGCATCTACAGGGTAGCTCACAACTGTCTGTAACTCCAGCTCCAGAGGATCCAGTTCACGTTTCTAACCTCTATTAGCACAAGGCACGCATACATGCATGCAGGCAAAACACACACATAAAATCAAAACATATAAATCTAAATCTTTTTTTTTTTTTTCTTCAAGGCAGGGTTTCTCTGTAGCTTTGGAGCCTGTCCTGGAACTAGCTCTGTAGACCAGGCTGGCCTCAAACTCACAGAGTTCCACCTGCCTTTGCCTGTAGAATGCTGGGATTAAAGGCATGTGCCACCACTACCCGGCTCATATAAATCTTTTTCAAAATTCCCATACTAGGTGAACTAGTCAAAGGGAAGTCTATACTTTGGGTTGAAAGGTGTTTCTCTGGCTCAGAGGGTAACAGTTTCTGTGGGACCTACACAGAGAAATCCAGAACTGGCTCCTGCAATGACTTAGCAGGGAAGGCATTTTGCAGTCAATCAAGACCTGAATTTGATCTCCGGATCCAGGTGATGAAAAAAGCAAACTGACTTCTGCATGTTGTCCTCTGACTTCCATGTACACACACACACACACAAATAGATATAAAAAATGTTTCATAAAACCCCCATTTTTCCCTCAGTATTATTCCGCTAAGGAACTTTTTCATTTATTTAAATTTTATTTAGTTAGTGGCACTGGAGAGCATATCCAAGGCCTAGTCTAGTACACTCTAGGCAAGCTGTCTACCACTAAGCTACAGTGTTCAACCCCGACGTACAGCCACCATAAAAATTGAATTTTATAGACACACTATAAATCTGCGTATTTACCATGGCCCTTTGAAGTCCACAATCACTGGAATATCTAAGGTTTATTTTTTCATTCCTCCCCAAACCCACTGCTTGTCCCTCTGTAGATCTCAGTTAGTTAGAGACTGAGCCAAAGAAAGTCTAGACGGTTCTTTCTGCTCCCCAGAGGCGTTTAGGGAGCTGAGGTTGGAAGAGGTCTCCCTGAGAGAAAGTCTGTGGTGATGGTGGGATAGGAAGTGATGATAACTAGACCAGAGGCCTTGGAGAGCGTTTCCATTGCAGAGTTGGTAGGTCGGAACAGGCACCAGGCCAGAACAGTACCTGCAGTAGCATCCGGAGCCGGGTGATTCGCTGGAAGGGCAGTAGCAGGAAAGACGGCAGTGGGAGCCGCTCACATTTGGGGAGGCTCTGCAGCCTTCGCAGCTCTGCAGAGAAGCGCACGTTAGTGTCCCTGTCAAGAAAGCCCAGATGCCTAGGAGTTCCCTGAAGTAGGGGCCTCAACCCTCCAGCCAGCTCTGGTCTCAGCCTTAACATGACTTCAGAGGTTCCTCCAGCTCTGAGATACAGAAGTCCCCCGTCTCTGTAGTTTTGTTTTCATAATTTCAATTACCCGGCGCCATTAAATGGAACATTCCAGAAACAATTCGTACTTTTTGAAATGAATATCTTTCTGACTAGCAACGGTGCCTCACCCTATCTCATCTGGAACACTAATAATTCCTTTGTCCAGTGTATTCATGTCCATATACTACACACCTATCAATCACTTAGTAGCTGTCCTATCTGTCAAACTGGTGTATTATGGAGCTGTGTTCTCATAATCTTTTATTTACTTACTCATGTCCACCAAGTGCAAGAGTAGTGATGCTGACAATTTTATTACATTATATTGCTCTAGTTTTTCTATTTTATGATTAGCCATTGTTAATCTCATGCTGGGCCTAATTTATAAATCATTTTCTTAGAGATGGATGTATAAGGTTAGTACTATCCACCGGTGGTCTTGGAACACATTCCCGGGAAGGGAAGAGAAACCAATGTACTCACATAAGGCGACTATACGTCTCCTCCTGATACTGTTGGTTCCGTACATAATCCACATACACTGAGAAAGGACCAACCGCGTGGGCATGCACCACATCACACAGGTCGCTGATGTGTGGGGAAGAGCGAACGCGGGACAGTAATGTCCCTAGAAACCTGAAAGCGTAGCGGAGGCAATGAATGGAGGGACAGAAAGTCTGGGAGGGAAGATCTGGGAGAGGGAGAAAGCTAAGGAGGCCCCATTCAGCAGCCCAAGGCCCACTGACCGCTCACTGACTCCCTGGACGCGCTGCACGTTGGAGAAAAGTGTATGGTGATCCCGAGGAGTGAGTGTGTCCCGGAGATCCCGGCTCAGGACGAAGGTGTCGGTCAGTAGCCTCAGGGAGCGTAGGTAGGAGGCCTCTGAGGTCACCACCTCAAACAGGCTCTAGACAAGAGAGCGGGGCCACAGTAGAGAGCCAGCCACCTCACAGCCAGCCCTGACTTAGGTCAGTCCCGCCCTGCGGTACCCACCTCCTGCATGCGCCTTTCCTGGGGGCTTAGGCTCTCTAAGAGACCACTGGCTCGCACGGCCGGGAGCTCCTGCCATAGAGTGTTTCGAGGTCCCGGGAGCCTGGAGAAGGTGGGAGCTTCTCCGGGATTAGCCGGAGAGGGGCTCCCGTCCTCACTCACACCCCACAGCTCCTCTGAGAGCACAGCTGCCCTGTAGGTCTGGTATAAAGGTTCTGGAAGGTAGACAGGGAACATCAGGGAGGGCCAGGGATCAGAACCCTTCCCTCCTGCCTGGCACAGGAGAGACCTACCGTCCTGCAGGGGCAGCTCCCACTGCTGCTCCTTCAGCCCCTCCAGCCCTTCCTCATCCCTGTGGAGGAAGGAAAGAAGACATATGAGATCCATTCTGAGGGCGTGATTCGCAGGATAGCAGAGGAGAGAGATACAGAACTCAATTGCACACTGTGTGGAGGGGGACCTGAGAGCTCCCAGGTCAAACTCCAGATGTTCCTATGTGCCTGTAGGAGGGGAGACCCTCGGCAAAGCAGGCCCCAACCATCCCTGCTTCCTCCGCTACTGTGCAGTCGATACTTCAAGTCCCTCCCTGCAGCCCTCTCACACAGAAGCACTGTCTAGAAGGTCTTCTTTGTGGCTTAGTCAAGCGCCACATGGTCAAACTCTCACTCCTGTGGCTCACTGGCTCCCCTCTCTTGGTAATCAGCCATTCAGCCATTCTCTCTCTCTCTCTCTCTCTCTCTCTCTCTCTCTCTCTCTCTCTCTGGTTTTTCGAGACAGGGTTTCTCAGTAGCTTTGGAGCCTGTCCTGGAACTTGCTCTGTAGACCAGGCTGGCCTCAAACTCACAGAGTTCCACCTGCTTCTGCCTTCCAAGTGCTAGGTAGGATTAAAAGCATGTGTCACCACCGCTTGGCCTGTAGTAAATACTTTCTAAACAAATCAGCATACCTGGATTATTACTTCTAATATGAAAACAGTCAATCTAAGATGATCAGCAAGACTAGAAAGCATAAGAGACGGCCATGTTTGCCCAATGGTTTTGCCATAATCATTTTAATTGAGAGTTTGAAAAGAGACTCAGTGGTTAAGAGCATGTACACCCATACAGAGGACCTGAGTTTGATTCCCAGCATCTACATCAGGTGGGTCACAACTATCTGTAACTCAGCCTACAAGGGGAGATCCCACTGTTTTGGTCTCTGTAAGTACCTGCAGACACACACACACACACACACACACACACACACACACACACAATTAAAAATAAACCTTAAGCCAGGCAGTGGTAGCACACGCCTTTAATCCCAGCACTTGGGAGGCAGAGGCAGGCGGATCTCTGTGGAGTTCAGGGCCAGAGCTGGTTCCAGGGCTGCTAGGACTTATACACAGAGAAACCCTATCTCAAAAAACAAAACAAACAAACAAAAACCTTAAAAAATAATGTTAATACAGACTCCCAAGAAGATAAGAAAATTAAAGGAGAGCTTGACTCCTTTGATGCTTTGGTTTTTGTTTTATTTTTGGTTTGTTGCTGTTTTGAAAGTGAACTGTGATATATATCCCAGGCTGGCCTCAACTCCTGATTTTCCTGACTCAGTCTGCTAAGTGCTGGGATTATAGCCTGTGCCACTAAACCTAGCTTGAGCACAGATTTTTTGCAATATTATTCCTCAATAACCGCATGGAACAGAACCAAGCTTATTCCTGCTTCTTAGAGAAAGACTCTGAGGCCCAGAAAAAAGAGAATTTATTTAAGGCTGCATAATTAGCGAGGAACAGAGATCAGATTAGAAACCTGGGCTCCTCTGGAGCCCTGTTCCCCCCCCCCCATAAGATAGTATTCCTCTGTCCTTGAAGTTAGTCTGTCCTTGCATGAGAGGCAGCGTGAGGTGAGGAGAGGAGTAGAAACATGGTTGGGGGAGTTGAGTACCTTCCCTCCAAGGCCGCAGGAGGAACATTCTGAGGTGCTTCTTCAGGTCTGTCCCCTGGAGAGAGAACTCAGAATGACCAGAGCTAACCTTCAGTCCCCCAGCCCAAGACACTGAGCCCCAGCCCCAGCGAAGACTGACCCCCTCAGCTCCTGAGCAGCAGCTGGGAGAAATGGGAAAAGCTTGGTAGGGTTGTAGTGGTCCCTCATCCTCCACACTGTGCCCTCAAAGCACAGAGGCCACTCCAGGCCCTGTCCTCTCTCCCTACCTTCCACGTTCTAACCCTTCCTTGTCCTTGTACCTGTCTGGATCCCATCTTCTGAAGGCAGTTCCAGGTCCGGCTGTGGAAGCTCCCCGGAGGGGCTGGTATCCTGCCTGACTCGAGTCGGCTTGGGGGGCTTGAGGGGAGGTAGGAGTTTGCGCTCGGCAGTGGAGCGGTAAGATGTGAGGACGACTGGAGGGTGGCTGATGACCGGTGGGTTGATGCGGGAGCGGGAGGCTCGCAGTGGGGATGCCCGGCAGGGGGCCCTGAGGATGTCGTCAGAACTCCCCACAGGCACCCATCGGAGCTCCAGGCCAGGTTTTGCTACATGGCAGACGCAGGGGCAGCATGGAGGGCAGGCCAGGGCAGCGTCTGTAAGCAGAAGGGATTGTCTAAGGAGAAAGTCCTTGGGACCTGACTCATCCCATCACAGACTCTTTCCCCACATAAAGGACTAACCCCAGGTATCTGTAGATCTCATCCGCCCTGTCTGCAAACGCAGAGAAACACAGAATATAGATTTCTCAAATACAAAATTTACATTACAGATGCTAGCCCTTTAGAGTTCCGGTTTTTGAGAACTGAAAGCAAAGATGATCCAGCTGTGTTGAGGCTACCTCAACATATGCTTACCTGGAGTGCCATTCTCCTGGGATCCATTCCCGGAAGGGGTGGCTTGGGGAGTCTCTCTCTCCCCATTCACATCCGTGCCCCCTTGGGAGCATCGCTCCAGGGAGTCTGAGGACTGGGCTTTGCCTTCAGCCCCCCATTCAAACTTGCCAGCCAGTCTGCGAACCGTGCCAGGGGCCGAGGCAGAGCCATCCTGGAGGGGCATAGGAAGCGAGGGCAGAGGTGTTCGGGGAGATCCAGAGGGCTTGGGTGGGGGTACTGGAGAACATGAAGGAGCTGGTTCTGGGGAGACGGAGCGCCGGGACACTGGGCTGGGACTGGGCGTGCTGGAAGGCGAGTCTGGGGAAGTCTGAGAGTCCAGACTGGCTCTGGAAACTGATGGGGGCAGAAGGGCAGGGGGCTTCAGGGAAGATGTTGGGGGCTCCCAGAAGATGGAGGTGCACATTGAGGTTGATGCATCATTGGGTATTTGAGGAAGTGCTTTCGAAGAGGAGCCGTTTTGGGGAGGTCCCGGGGAGTGTGGAGCCCGATGGCGAGAAGGGGGGCGGGGGCGGATGATCCGAGGGGGCTTCAAGGTAGGGGGCGTTGCTGCAGGAAGGGACTGGGCTGACATCGTCTTCTGAGTGTTTCCAAGGAGGGAGGTGTCCTGTGGAAGTCATCCCCTGAGGAGAATGGAGGGAGAAAGTACTCCTCAGAGTCCCCCGTCCCCCGTGGGTAGACTGTGGCTGCCTAAAACTATGTTTTTGAGTCAAGGGAGAGAAGACTGGCGTGTGGTACACTTCCCTCCCTTCCTCCTCATCACACCTCCTCATTCACCTCTCACCCCTCATCCTGCCCCCTCTCGGACCTTCCTGGGCAGCTTTTCTTTTTTAAGATCAAACTTCTGATCCTCCTGCCTCAGTCTCTGGGGTCCTGCCTTGGCCAGCTTCTCTATCCTTTGACTTCTGCTGCCACAGTCGGGCTAGGGGACACAGTGGGGCTAAGAACAAGCTAGTTGGGGAGGACGGAGAGGCAGGGGTAACTGAGGTCAGTAAGATGCCATGCTGGGAACTCAGCTTGCTGGTCCAGTCACCATGTGTAGGAGTTTATGGGAGTTACTGTGCACTGTTATGTAGTCCTGGATAAGCGAGAGTTGGGTGTGCCCTGAGGGGTATGCTGGGAAGCAGTGGGGTCAGCGGTGGCTCTTGATGTGTCGTGTGAGTATAGTGTGCGCGTGCGTGTTCTATGCTATCTGAGTAAAGCATGTGTGTATGTGAACATGCACGCACGCACGCACACGTGCAAGCCAGTGCCTGAGCTGAGGGATGCATCACTGTTTCCCTGCTCTGGCTCCCCCTCCCCCTCCCATTTCCCAGTTCCCCTCTCCGGACTCTCCCTTTCCGGATTATTTTTAGTCTCCTTTTCCTGCCGTGAAGATTCCTGGAGCCTCTGACCCCAGGAGACCGGAGGCCCTAGCCTGGTCTCTTCTGCTCCCCATCCTCTTATCCCTGCCACACCTGGGTCTGGTCACAGAGAGAAGCTCCAATGGGAGGCTGGGTCCTGCCCGGATGCCTGGGAGGCCGCCGCCACTCCAGGCCAAAGCATCAAATCGACAGCCCTGGGACTGGGACTGGGACTGAGACCTGGGCTTCTCTTCCTCTTGACAAGGAGGATGAGGACCAGAGCTGGGACACAAGAGAGACCCTAAATTCTCTGCATGATCAAAATAGCCTTCCGGGTCCCAGCTGAGGTTCTTGAGAAACGACAGACATCAGGGACCCCTTAGGTTGCAGCTCACTCGGTGGCCCCTACACGCTGCCATGAAGCCCCTCATTGGGCAGTGGTCTCCTGCTCCACAGCCTCTGCCCCTTCAGGGAACTCACTCTTCCCCATCCCAGCTACCTACGTTTACTTCCTTCCCCACTCCCAACTCGGGCCTTCCACAGGGCCCAGAGAGTCGGGGCCCCAAGCACTTACCCTCCAGTTCCCTCCACTCTCCGTCACCTCCTAGGGCTGAGTGAGTAGGGGCAGGAAACAGGAATCCGATCCTCCTCCCAACCGGACACCACCACCCCCAACCACACCAGGCTCCACATGCGCACACAGGGCCTAGAGGATGTGAAGAATCCGGCATCCAAGGTGTTGGAGGTTAGAAAAGGCTGGAACCCAGGTATGGAGAGAGAGTTGCTTTGTGTGCGCACCCTCACCTGCCCTGCTAAGTGGCGGTGGTTGAGGTGAGAATGGGGTGGTCCTGGCAGGCTGGGCTGACAGTGCGCATGCCTATCTCTCTCAGCGAAGGGATGTCTGGCCATCTCTCCTACCACTTGCACAACTGTCCGTCTCCCCAAACTCCAACCTATTGCCTTGGTGTGAGCCAACCACACTCGACACAAAGGGAACCTCTCTTCTCTTCCCTCCCACCTGCAAGTCCCTCCCACCCCAATCCAGGAATTTACCTTTATGGTTTGGGGTAGTTTCTGTTTTCAGCCTATCTTCCTGGCCCCTTGGAGCACCAAATGCCGCCCAGTGTCTCCAAATAAATATCCCTGTGTCTTTGGGGCGGGAACTGAAGGCCCAGATTTCCATCTCCACAGAGGAAGCCAGTTCCTCAGCCCCACCCAGCCATTGTGTCAGGCCAGGGGTGGGAGTGTGGAGGGAGGTGGGGAAGGGGATCTTCAGATTCGCAGGGAGATTTGTTGCTAGTCTGCATTCCCAGTGTCTCCTCTGGGTCCCGGCTCTGACTCGTTGTCCCACTGGGAGGTTCCCACAGTGATTGGCCCAGAACCAATGTCTGGAGAGAAGGGGAGACAGGTTGTGGAGTGGACCCCACCACATACCTTTAGTTTGCTCTCGGTTTGGGAAACTGAGTTCCCAGGGCTGGAAGTGTGTGATAAAAACAGCTGAAAGGGGTGGAGTGAACCACACCCCAGCCTAGGAAGGAGGCTGGTGGAAGCTGCAGGGCTAGTCAAGAGAGATCCCGCAGCTGATGGCATTGGCGTGGGCACACATCCACACACGTCAGGCCAGACACAGGGAAGAAGAGCCAGCAAGCTAGTACTGAAAGATGTTTTAAATACCTTTTTACTCAGTGTCTAAAACCTAATGTCTTTCTAAGGGACTTCAATCTACCCTGTTCCCCAGCCTCTCCCCTCAGGCCTGCTTCTAAGGATCTTCTGAATTGTGCCTGATGCCTGGAAATCTTCCCAAGAAATCTCGCTGAAGCATTCCTTCCCCTCATTCTGGCAGCTGGAAGAAACCCTCTCAAAGAGGGCTGTCCTGGCCACTCTAAAATTTCAGTCCACTGGCTGCCTGCTGAGGCCTTGTCTTACTCAGGTTGAAGGTGTGGATTAGCAGCAGAGCTCCTCTCAAGCACTGTGCACTGTGCGAGGCTCCGACACAATGGAGTGCTACAAAGGGAAAGAAACTGACCAGGGGGGCTAGAGATGGCTTGGTGCCTAAGAGCTCTTCCTAAGAACCTGCATCAGTTTCCAACAATGCATAGCTCACCTATAACTCCGGCCACAAGAGATCCCACAGACACCCTTGCTTAGCCTCAAAGGGCACCCCCACACAGCATACATGCACACAGACACACACACACACACATGCATATAGATATAATCATTAAAAAAAGAAGAAGAAAGTAAGGACTGAGATGTAGTGGCATTTCATTTGTATTTTAATAAATAAAACTCGCCTGAAGATCAGAGAGTAAAACAGCCCCATTGGTCAGCCTTACAGACCAGGCAGTAGTAACACACACCTTTAATCCCAGTAGCCACAGTTTGCCATAGAAACCAGGTGGTGCACACTTTAATCTCAGCTCTAAAGAGGGCTATAAAACAGAAGGAAACAGCTCTCAGACACAGTCTCATTCTGAGATTCCTGGAGGCAGGATCGCTGTTTCGGTCTGAGACCGAGATAAGAGCCAACGGCTGATGGCTTTGCTTTTCGGATCCTCAGGTTGAACCCCAGTTTTTCTCTCTGAGCTTTTGTTCATTATGCTTCACTGAGAGATGGCTCGGCAGTTAAAGCACCAGTCTGAGTTTTCAGCTCCCACACCAAGCAGTTTACAACCACCTGCAACTCCAGTTTCTGGGGGACCTAACACCTCTGGCCTCCACAGGCACCTGTACTCATACGCACATAACCATATAAGAGCATGTACACACACAATTAAAAATGAAATAAATATTTTTCAGAAAGAAAGTAAGAAGGAGCCAGGCATAGTGGCACATGCTTTTCATCCCAGAGCTCAGAAGGCAGAAGCAGGCGGATCTCTGTGAGTTCAAGGTCAGCCTAGTCTACAGAGTGAGTTCCTGGAGAGCCAGAGACTCTGTCTAAAAAAAAAAAAAATAGAAATAGAAAATAAAATAAAGTAGGAAGGAAATAAATAAAAGAGGCAAGGGAAAGATGGCTGGGGGTGATGAGGCACCCAGCACTTGAGAGGTGCAGCCGGGAGGCATCCTTCCTGAGCTACAGGACGAGACCCTTGCCTTAAACAAACACACAAACAAAAAGCATTGTCCTCGGGGCTGGAGAGATGGCTCAGAGGTTAAGAGCATTGCCTGTTCTTCCAAAGGTCCTGAGTTCAATTCCCAGCAACCACATGGTGGCTCACAACCATCTGTAATGAGGTCTGGTGCCCTCTTCCGGCCTGCAGGCATACACACAGAATATTGTATACATAATAAATAAATAAATATTAAAAAAAAAAAGCATTGTCCTCTGACCTGACATTTGCAGGCTGGCACAAGCCCCTCTACAAACACAACGATAGTAAGTAAAATTAAACATTTAAAAGGAAAAGAAGAAAAATAAATTGCAATCCATTCTCCCATACCATATTCCCAAACTTCCTCTGTGGTGTGTGTGTGTATGTATGTGTATACATGTGTATTTGTGTGCTTGCACATGTGTGAGTTGACATGGGTTCATATGCATGTGGGTTGACATGGGGTGTCTTTCTTGACGGCTCTCCACCTCATATGTATTGAGACAAGGGCTCTCACTTAAACCCACAGCGTGCTCGTTCATCTTCTCTGGCTAGCCAGTTTATCTGAGGGCTCTCTGGGATGAGCTGGCACTCATGCTGATCTAAGCCCAGGTCCTCACATTTGTGCAACAAGTACTCCACCTTGGATCATCTCTCAGCTCCAACATCCCTTCCCATGGCAGTCAGTCACACCTGTACTATCCCATACGCTGTATTTACATATTGTGCCATACTTAAAGTGAATTCTCTTTATATGACAAAGTAACCCCAAATACAAAATCTTTGTTTTATTTAATAATGTAATGTATCCCAAAAGTTCTGAAACTGGGTCAAGTACACAAAAGGTACTCAACAGAAGCTTAGTTCTTGCTGTGTTTGGTTTTTTGAGAGAAGGCTCTCTCTAAGGTTGCTCAGTCTGGTCCTGAACTCCTGGACTCAGGCAATCCTCCTTTCTCAGTTTCCTGAATGTTTGGCTATAATTACTACAGACACTCACCGCTGTGCCAAGCAGCTGCTTACCACTTGATGATTTAAGCCAAATGAGCTGAATTTTCACCCCAGTGTACTCTTTCTCTTAGCCTTGTTCTTCACAGAGTACCTATAATGTGTGTTGAGTACATTAGTTTCCCATTACACAGCACCCTAAGCCAGGCACCCACCCAGCCCCCATCTAGCGCTTTTGGTATTTCAGGAGAGGAAATTCTTTCCCCTAAGAGTCTTGGAGACCCCAGCAAGAAAACTAGACACTTATGTAGCCAAATAAGTCAGGTATTTACTTATTTTGACTGAAATGTTAGGGGGCTTTTTGTTGTTTGTTTATTTGTGGATTTTTTTTGTTTTACTTTGGTTTTTTTTTAGTTTTGCTGTTTATAAAAGTAACATTATAAAAAGTATATACTATAAAAGGTATACACACACATATATACATATATATATATATATATATATATATATATATATATATATATATATATATATATATATATAGTAACTGTCCTAGCACCAGAGAGCTAAGGCAGGAAGATGAAGTTGAACTGCCACCAGGTGGAGTCTGAGCAAGCATTTCAGGTGTCGCTCTGGCAGCCAAATTTCAGCCCTAAGCCTTCCAAGACGTGGCACCGCCCTCTCTGGTACCATGGCTTTCTCACTGGCATCTGGGACCTTTGTGCTCTTTCTCCAGCTCTTCTCAGATCTGTTGAGGGACTTCAGCGGGTGATGTAACCCTTTTACAATCATTGAGACAGCATGATTGGACTGGAGAGATGTCTCAGTGGTCAAGAACACTTGCTGTTCTTGCAGAGAACCCAGGTTTGGTTCATGCACATGGTGGCTCACAAACTCCCTGAAACTCCATTTCCAAGAAATCCGCTGCCTCTTAGGACCCTCAGCCATGCTTGCGGTGCAAATACACAAGAGAAGGTAAAACAGTCATATGCATAAAATATAAAAATAACAACAACAAGTTAATCTGGGCATGGCGGCGTATGCTTTTAATTACAGCACCTAGGAGGCAGTTTAATCTCTGTGAGTTTGAAACCAGTCTGGTCTGCACAGCAAGTACCAGGCCAACCCGGTCTATATAGTGAGACCCTTTCTTAAAAAGAACAAAACAAATTGACCTGAAAATTTGTGGGTAGAATATTTTTGTCCGCAGAATCAGCATATGTAATTACATAGATGTGAGGGAATGAAATGTACGTATGTCAGGTTGGGTGAATTCGGGAGCCATGTACCTGCGATCATATCTTCTCTATCATGATGGACTTTACCCCCGACTTTACTGTCTGTGTGTATGCCTGCAGGCCAGAAGAGGGCACCAGACCCCATTACAGATGGTTGTGAGCCACCATGTGATTGCTGGGAATTGAACTCAGGACCTTTGGAAGAGCAGGCAATGCTCTTAACCTCTGAGCCATCTCTCCAGCCCTTGAGCCATGATCTTGAAAGCACCTTTCCTCCCTTAATTTGTTTTGTTTTGTGAGTTACGTGGTCACAGCAAGGAGAAAAGTAACCAGAGAATGGTCTAAGGTTGGAAGCCTGCATCTTGTGATGGCTTTTAATTTTCTGTGATGCTGGTGGTGGAACATAGTGCTTTGCACACTCTGGGCAGAGTGCTCTAACACAGATTA